TCGCAAACTGAAAAGTTGCATATCTAGTATGAATAAAATTATCATGAAAACACATTGGCAAATGTGTAACGTATCCCGATGCCCATGTGCTTTTTAATGTTTTGTAGTTTACTGAAAAAAGGAACTCATACAGAAAAATCATTTAACTGGAGCTTTTAGTCCTCGAGTATAAAAGTATATTACGTTAACAGATATGACGTGTGACATGGCAGAAATTTTGAAATCTCGTATCAAAACGAGAAAAGACGAGAGTGTGTTCACGCATGCGCATTTTGGGGTCACAAATGATTTCGTTTGGATGGTGAATGTTTTGTGAAATAATAGTCGCAGTGATAGTCATACACGGAAATAAGCGACTGTTTTAGGAAGACAGTGGATGCTATAAACCATACATCACCATATGACAACGAAATGTAGTGATAAGGTAAGCTAAAATAACAGTTTTGCGTCGGCACTCTCATGATCGGTCATGCCCACAAATGAACGATCATAATAATGAAACGCAGCACACTTGTGAATGGAAGAGAATACTGGTATCACATAGCAAATCAGACCAACTGACATAACACGTTGATGTTATCCTGATGTAAACAACTGTTTAAACTCGTGTCTGGATTTGACTCGTCTTACTAAGTCGTGTGATAATACCTATTTACTATAGCAAAAAGTAAACTGGGGAGTGTCTGCAAACGGGGGCGTAGTTGCAATATCGAGTCCAAGCCAGAAATGATAGCCAGGGTTTCTTACAACGCAAGTCTAATATAATATTGCTTACTGGAATAATTATGTGAGTTTTACATTAGACAAAATTGTGCAGACAATTAGCTTAATTTGGTCTAATTACTGGGAGTGGCGGAAGGGGAGGGGTAACTGGTACAGGTTACAGGAAATAAAAAAGGTAAAAAAATAGGTTTTTACACTTTACAGATAAAGCAAATTCATATACACTTACAAAATATAAGATTATTGTACAAATTACGAACGAATAAAATAACTGATTACATTTTACACCTGTCTACGATTTTACGTTTTTTATTTATTTAAATTACATTATTACGAAAATAAAAACAATTGATTACAGCTTACGAAAATACCCCTTGCCGACTCTCTACTAACTCAAACCAGAAAATGTATTTACATAACATTAAAGGGCGACAGTCGTCATGTCGCGTCCTGTTCGATATGAGACTCATAGCGAGGTATACAATGCTTGTAAAAAACATTGTTTATTTACACGAAATTCAAACACGCACTGCGCGACGATCACATCGCTTTAATTTATGTACCATCAAGGATTTATAAAATTAGTGTATGCAAGTGTGTTATAAGCGATGAAGATCACACACGAAGTCACGTGAAATGTGATATAACAAAAACACGAGAGAAATCTACTCTACATTTAAATCCTAATGAAAGTCTGTGAAAGAACTGATTTGTGTCCATCTTGCGAATACTGTAATATGTGCATTTTTTAATGCTGCGATAATCTCCCTATTTTCTGTCTATGCAATTGAACATTTCACAGTGTGTTCTGTAACGCTATAGGTTGGAACTAGGTTTGATTGATGTGCACAGAATGAGATCACCATTAAGAGGTACACAAATCGCGAGAGCTTCCTTCTTGAGAGATCTGAAAAGTTGCATACTCTTACATTATAAATCATTGTTATCATTTATAACAATATGCTTTCTGATGTCTACATAAATGAGCACATACAACAATGTATATCATAGTCAGTTGAAAATTTCTGTACCAGACAGCAAGGCAGCTTATTTTCAAACTTTACCAGCCCTGCTACAGGGTTTTCGCCAGTCGCCGGCTTATTTGCCGTCTACATGATCTCACACGGCCGTCTACTGTTGCAGAATTCAATTGCACGTCATAGGTCACGCCTGTTGTCACGTGGTTGATTGGAAAAATGGCGTCCAAACGTAGGATCGCACAGGGAAACAAGACGGGAATAAAATGTATAAATAAAACGATCACAAATAAAATCTACCATTTTGGTCTTGATTTAAACCACATGCCCACATGCAAAATGAGCAAAAATATATTCAAACCTGCCACTAAATATGTCTTGCACTTTCTAAAAGTTTTCGGTCTGCAGAGGGGGGACACCCCAATCCTGCTCTCTCCCCCGCAATTATGCTATGAAATGTCTAATAATTCTGTTCCAGGTTTCATTTCATCTCTACTAGAAACTGTCCTGAATGTCATGTATTCACATAAGGAAAGGTCTTCATAATTATATCATAAATTTTAATCCAATTAAAATGCCGTGCATCAACAAATAGTTGGAGTTAAATTGTGTACTCTTTCACCAATTGGTTGTGGTTTATACTACTGATACCAAGCTCAGAGTTTTGTCTAAATTCAAAAAATACAGTGTACTATGTACAAAGATTTAGAAGTCTGCCAACTGAACAAGATTATAATCATAGATAATAAAAGTAGGAAGTTACATTTTCAGAAAGAATTATTGTCACAATGTGATGGTGATGAAGTGGGGAAACAAGCAGATATGAAATGCTGGGAACAGTTTTGGAACAATTCTATCAAATTTCCTTTATTTTGACTCCTGAATACATATTGGTATGTACATGTACACTGTGGTATCAGGGATTTTTTCAAACAAGGAAACAGGGGTGCAGCGCCATCATCTCATGGCCATGCACCCCCTTACCCTGGGGAGCAGAACCTCT